GACGTTACTGACAAGCTTGAAATCGATGCCTCGGGAAACTCCATATTCTGCATCTTTTGAATAGTTTCTAGAAGAGAGGATAACATGACAACTTATCAAAATGGGAAAGTAAATAATTGAAGAACATGAAGACGAACAAATTCGACATGTAGAAAATTAAGTCATTAGAACCCAAACGACGGACCTTTGAGGCTTCTTAGAGGGCTCCGCGACATCCGCTGAGTCATTTTCATCGGTTGCCAAAAGATAATCGTACATGCCCCTGTTGAATTGTTGGACAGTATGACATCGCGTCGCAATAGGAAGCTCTGAGTTCAATATGACGGTTTGGACGCCAAATTCCTCTAGAAAGATTCTTAACCTGAAAACTGGTGTTAGGAGAAAAATTCAGAACTTATAACAACGATCAATGGAGTTCGTAAATATCATCGTCTTGCCCCTGATGAGCTTTAGACGGATCATCGCGATTAAGATAGCGTATTTTGAAGACTCTTCGGCACTGAAAGTAGACGATTATTGCGAACACATACCTGATCATATATTGTGTAAGCCGGTTGTCTGAAGGTAAAAAGTTTTCTTCGGGAAGTTCGACACGCACCCACTCCCCTGTGTAAATGGAACGCCGGAGCTCCTTTGTTGTTTCATCGAGGGTGGCTGACATAAGAACAACCTAAAAACTCAATGGCGAAGTTAGCAATCTACCTGCATGTTTGTCTTCGGTAAGTAAGATTTTAATTCCTGCATATCCTTGCCGTATCCAAAAGCCAGAACTAGATCAGCCTCATCAATAACAAGAAACGCGAGATCTTCGAAATGCAGTCTCTTGCGGTGTAGCTGAGCTAGGATACGGAATGGTGTCCCGACAATAATATCGGGCTTTTCGATAAGCACTGGCCTACGATTTTAATTAAAATATTATTAGTCCAGTTACCTTAATACATCAACATCAGAACTTTGTGACACATCCACAACGCTCACTTCTCTTGAGGCATACTTACACAAGGATTTAATGTCCTTGGTGATCTGGTCGCACAATTCCTTCGTAGGAGAGATTATTAGGGCAGATGTCGTTTGCTCAACTTGTAACTGCAACAATAAGAGCAAATAAACGTACCAACTTTGACTCTAATATCATATGGATAAGTGGGATAGAAAACGCGGCGGTTTTCCCTGATCCCGTTCTGGCTTGAACGCTGAGGTTTTTCTTCTCAAGCATTAACGGTATAACTGCCTGCTGGATGTCGGTAGGAACGCTCCATCTTAGATCCGAAATTGCCTGAGAAATATAAAAACACGAATTAGAGTACTTTTAAAAGCCTCTGATCTATGTTCATCAAATGAAATTCTTCGACGGTGGACATCACGCTCGATATGTCGTCCAACACACACTTTTGAAAAATCACCAATTGTGCGGAATATTTTAAGAAAGATACTTTCTAGTTTTTATTCACTTAGTACATTAATATATTGTAAAGTTATTCTGGGAGTCAAGCTTCTAAAAAGGCTGTTTTCATTGTTTCAACAGATTCTCACGAAATGAGTGGTGGATAGAGTGACAAAACCAACGTTACAATGTTAGACCAGATAAATGTGCTGTTACTAAAAACATGTAGGCAATTTAATAGTAAAAATCCGAACAATATGGCAAAACCATA